TACTTCTAGGTTCAACAACATACAATGTAACTTCATCTTGCGAAACACTAATGTAAGCAATGAATCGTTCAACATCTTCATTGTCGGTTAATAAATAAACTTTACCTTTTATCTGATAAGATAGCCTAAATCCACTTATGGGCTCTAAATTCAATTTATTTGCAACACGTAACATTAGAGTTTCATAAGTTAACTTTTTTAATGACAGTTTTAGTTGAAGATTCATGGGTAAAGGCATATATTGTAAAACACCATGAACATTCTCCCATGACCCTCCAAAACACAAATATATCCAAACATGATCAACATTAGATGATTTCATTATTGTAAATTAATTTACTAAACAAACGAGCTGCGAAACTAAAACCTGTTGCTGGATGGGGAAGGATGTAGTTGGATATAAGAACGGATGTCGCCGGAGAGAGTGATAGATGGAGATGAAATGAGTTGCGATTTAGGGATTTAGGTTATGAGTTGCTATGCTACGTAGTTATATACCCAAAACATTTGTGTTGCAAAACTAAAACCTGTTGCGAATTTGAAATTCAGTGTTGCGATAGTCAGAATCACATTGCGATAGTCAGAATCGCGTTGCGATTTACATATTCGCATTGCTATTTTCTAAAATCGCAATGCGAATTTGGAAAATTGCAATGCGGTAGTCAAAATCGAGTTGCGAATCTGGAAACTGATTTGCGATACTGGAGATCGCGTTGCGATTTAGAGATCTCATTGCGATTTTGTTGGTCATTTTGGCAAATCGAAAAAAAGTTGGTCAAAATCGTATATTATAAGGCATTTTCGGTCACTGAGGTTATTTTCTCTTTCAAAATTAATGTCCTCATTTTGTTATTTTCATTTTTATGTTTTAATACTAACTTTTGGGGTTATTTTCTTTCAGGTCCTTCCACATTTTTCATGTTTTTGCATCTTGATACCTGATTTCTTTTTTCTTTTTATTTCGAACTCCATGTCTTGATTGTGTAGATTTCCCTTTTGTTTTTTTGTTCTTTAAACTATTTAAAATTTTAGGTGGAATTGTGTCTCAGTCCCTGTAACTTACCAATGTTTTTGCACGTAGGTTATTGTCTTAATTCTTATATTTTAAGATTAATTTCAATTTATTTTTATCTGGTCTCTGTCTTGCAAATTATGTAATTAACCAAGATCTAGTCCTTTAACTTTTAGGGAATATTCGATTTGGCTTTCGTCTTTATGCCCGAGAGTTTTCATCGATTATTCTATTCAATAAAAAAGGAGAATTAATTAGGTTAATAATTAGAGCCTCCACTTTAGGTTTAATTTTACCTTAGTCCTTTAATTTAGGGAATAATTTTATTTGGTTTTTTCATTAAGATGTCCGATGGTGCAAATTTATTATTCGATTCAACAAATGGTTTAAATAAAATAGGATTAGTATTAGAGCCTCAATTTTAGGTTAGTCCACTAGGCTCTTTAAATTTCATTATTTGACATTTTAAGTTAGGGGAAGCCTTAATTAATTAGCTAGTATAATTAGGCTTAAACGATTGATTGTTTGATTCATCATGTCTTCAAAATAAGGCAATGTTCTATTACCAAAGAGTTAATAGTGTATCCTCCACATTATGCTCAGGGGTTGACCACTGGTAATTCCCGAAGTAAATCGACATCCTTTTCAAAACCTCGTATACATAATGAATTTTAAATTAAATAAATCTCGAACTCAAAATTTTCAACTTTTAAATATAGGGTAATCGACTAGGTACCAATTTTTGGGCACTGTGGGGGTGTTAATCCTTATCCACGCGTAATTGACTCCCGAGCCTGATTTCTGGTTTTCGCAAACAAATTTTGGTATTTTTGATAAAATAAAATGTTTTATTAAAATAGCCTGATTCTTGGTGTTCCAATCGCATCTTAAAAATGGTTAGTGGCGACTCCCAACATTTCACAAAACATTTCAAAGAAAACCCCCACGTCATACTACTTTTTCCCACCCAGACGAAAAATAGTGTCTACAGAATCAAATAAAGAAATAATAAATAAATAAAATATTCTATCAAAAGAATATGAATTTAAATTCTTAAATTTGAATAATAAGTGACTCTATTAAAATATAATTTAAAATAATCTCATTATCTTAAATTATTATTTGAGTAATAATCACAATCATTATTATTCATTCTTAATGTGCGACCCTATTAGTTAAATTATTATTCGAGACACCCCGTGAATTCGGAGTAATCAATGAGTGTAGTAGCATGTATAGGTGACTCGGTGTCACTTTAAATTAATTTCAATATTTATTTTGATATATGAATTCATATGATAAGTTTTCGGCTCATATAGAGCAATGAATGATAATGGAAACATTAAGGTAAAGTATGGTAAGTATAGGTGAGTATGTCATGGCATACTTTGTGATGATATATTATGGTATGTTAATTGTTCTCTAACATGCATAATTAATGAGTAAGCGTGTAAAAGTGAAAAATAAACTTCTATCTAATTTGTAAGTATGAAATTAAAAGAAAATATGATACGAAAGCATGTTTAAAAACAAGTTATATACGTAAATGCTAAGGCTCACTTGGTAAGCCAAGTTAAGATATGATTATGATAAGTTAAAAATAAATATTTTTCTTGGATGATAAGTTTAGTTTAGGTACAATTAGCATTTCATAGATTACATTTGAGTTCATGTCGGGTTTTAGATTACGATCCATATTTGGTGATGTTGGAGGGATGTTATTGCTCATTGGTGATGTTAGAGGGAAACCATTCTCGGTTATTTGGCAATGTGTAGGGGATTCGTGTATCCATATCTACTTATAAATCTAATGAGCTAAATTTTTTGTTATAGGATATAAGTATTTACTATAAAGCAACATGATTTGATATGTTCATTATGTGTTAAATTGTAATTCAAGTTTTCATGCTAGATCTATACATATTGATGTGAGGTGGCATTGGATATGAAATGTTTTTGAAGCTAAGATGTTAGAGCTTGAGAATATTCATAGTGATGATAATGGTAATGATATAATGACAAAAGCCTTACCGAGAAAGAAGTTTGAAGCATGTTTTTTGGCTGCCAGCATGAAGGTTTTTCCCACATATTTGGAGAGAGAGATTTATTAGGTGTAGGTCCCACTATGTGGGAAAACCCATTCACCCGCGGAACCCATAATAATTGGGTGTTTGTATTTTTTACCTTGTTTGGTTTGGCCTTTTCGAGTCGGCCTATCTATAGGTTCTACAGGCCTATATATGTTTACCAACACAATTAAGTCGTGCTTTATTAAAAAGTAGAATTAGTGTTCTAACTTCGAAATTTTATTAACTCGGCTAAGTTCAGTGTAGATTTGGTTAAAGAAGGTATTTTGAACATGCCTGCTTTGAATCTATCCCTTGTGTCTTTGTCAGTCGTCAACGTGACATTAACTAGAGATTAAAAACAGTGCTATTTACATTAGTTTTACTTATTGGACGAGTGTTTCATCCCTTAAAAAAGCCTTTCCTCGGATAACATTGCTGTCAGAAAACATGGTAAAGTAAATGAGTTTGGTTGTTTTTTGAATGGTATGTGGTATTGGAGAATTGAATTAAGGCGCACATTTTTTGATTGGGAGTTGAGAGTTTGGAATGAATTTCTCTCCATTTTAGATAGTGTTGTTTGCATAGGTGATGTTGAGGATCGTCTTTCTTGGCAGAGATCTTCGGATGGATTATACATGCCTAAAAGCTTCTGCTTGTTGGAGTCGTGCTATGGGCTAGAGGAAGATCGGTTTTGGAATCAAATATGGGCAAATATAGCACCGCCTAAAGTGGAAATATTTGTTTGGAGGGCGACTAAACAGAGGATTCCAGTTTTCAAACTGAAAGTTTCAAGAGTGGTGGACAGCACTTGTGTTCTTTGTAAAAAGGAAACCGAAACTACATATCACCTCTTCGTGCATTGCGAGATCAGTTGGCTGGTTTGGCAAAAAATGATGCCAGCAGTGGAATGTAATGTTGGTGGTTCCTATAAGTGTTAAAATGCTGCTTGAAATGTGGTGTGCTCAAAATTTTCGAAGAAAGGGGATGCCAATATGGAAAATGGGCTCTTTGGATATATGTGGACTATATGGATATGCAGAAACGATGTTGTCTTTAAAAAAGGCGTTTACAATGATGAGCGCATTTTTGAAGCGGCGATCCTTAGAACGGGTCTTTGGGTGAAAAACAAATAGCCTAATAGTGCATGGTCTATAAATGATTTCATTAGAAACCCAAAGGAGTGTGATGTTGGCCTGCTTTGATGATTCAGATTTTTGTTATGAGTTGATACTTTTTGTGACAACTAGTTTCTATCTCGCCGTTGAGGCCAAAGATGTCATGTTTGCAGGTGCTGGCGAGATGGATTCTCTTGTTCATGGTTTTGCTCGGGAGCCTTGAGGTTATCTTATTTACTCTTATGTGTGGCAGCTGCTGGGTCTCCTCTGCTGGAGGGTCTTGGGCACATGGAGTATGGCGTTGGAGTTTTGTTTTGCTTCTTCGGAGTTTGTGTGTGTGCGCTCCGTTTGAGGTTGTACTAAAGTTGGGGGTTTGGCTCTGAGCCCCGTTTGTGCGTATGCTTTGTTTGATTGTGGTTTTGTATTCTTGTTCTATTGTTGATTTACTTTCATGGCAACTCATGGTGTACTCTTTTTCCTCCATTTAAGTTTAGAGAAATTTTTTAGTGAGGCTTATGATATTGTTTAGTTTTGTATTCTATTCATCTTGAATACAAAATCCCCTTTTCAAAAAAAAGTTTTACTTATTGGATTAAAAAAAAATCATTCTATGATTGAACTGTTGTCCATAAAGAAAGAGCTTCGATGAGATTTTTAAATTGACATGCCGAAAATGTGGCCATTATTTTTTTATTTACTACAGTGCACAAGACCAAGTTATCCGGTCTATATAAAGCATGGAGAGCAAAGCTTTGAGTGGCATCCATTCCTCACAAAAGAAAATAAGTTACAAAGGAGAAAGAGAAAAAAAAATATTAATTAGATATGGCCACTATAGCATCTTGTTGGAAACAACTTAGCGGTGAGAACAAGTGGGATGATCTATTCCACCCTCTTGATCTTAACCTCCGCCGCTATATTATTCACTACCTCCAAAGGGCCGGAGCTGCCGGTGATGCATTCAACGGTACCAAGGCATCAAAGGGTTACGCCCTTAGCCTATACCAACCCGAGGAGTATTTCGACAAGGTTGGTCTTGAAAAGGGGAACCCATACCATTACAAAGTCACCAACTTCATATATGCCGCCACAGGTGATGAGAAAGCGGCATATATTGCATACGTGGCGGTGGCCACGGACGAGGGGAAGGCGGCTCTGGGAAGGAGGGATATTCTGGTTTCATGGAGAGGAACCATGACATCGGAAGAATGGGCTTCCGATGCTAATCTTATTCAAACATCGGCCAAAGATTTGTTCGGAACTGACTTGGTTCAGGTGCACGCTGGGTTCCACGGCATCTATACAAAGTCGATAGCAAGTAATCCTTACGCTAAGACCAGCGCCAGGCAACAGGTAAATAAAGCGGTGCGGGCACTGGTGGACAAGTATGAGCACGACGAGGAGGTGAGCATAACGGTAACTGGCCATAGCCTGGGCGCAGCACTTGCAACCCTAAACGCAATGGATATAGCTCACAAAGGAATCAACAAGCCGATGTTTAACCCGTTTAAGGCGTTCATGGTGACTGCTTTTCCGGTTGCCAGCCCTCGCGTCGGGAACGCGGGCTTCAAAGCGGTTTGCGATACACTCAGGCATTTACATCTCCTGCGCATCGTGAATGCCACGGACCCTGTTCCCAAGGTTCCTTATGCGCCGTTAATATACATGCATGTGGGAGAATTGCTAGAGATTGACACAACAAAGTCACCCCACTTGAAAAGCCCTAATAATCCACACAATCTGGAGATTTACCAGCATGGAGTTGCAGGAGTTCAAGAGAACCGGGAGTTCAGATTGCAAGAGGAACTTCATTTCGATAATGCGATCGTAAACAAACATAGCTGTAGTTTAGTGGACGAATACAAAATACCAGATAACTGGTGGACTACGGAGTTGTTCAAGGGCATGGTTCAGGAGGAAGACGGCCGCTGGAAGTTCATTGACTCTGCCTATGTCCCAGATCCTCCAACTGCTTAGCTTATATTAATTCTAAATTAATGCATAATAGTGGATATTAATTATAAATAAGTACCTCCATGCCATCTACTTGCACTCCAAGTACTTGGGGACTAATTTCCTAAATTAAAAATAACGTTGGACGTACGTTAAGCTTGCTTATCTGCCGTCCAAAAGCCGCAGATTGTACTGTGATGTCTTTGTATGTTTGTTTCATTGTCTTGACATTTTAATGAAGAATATAACATCAATCTTCGTAATGCCAGTATTTGTCATCAGGTGTTAATTAATTTACTTTCAATCTTTGTATGTTTGTTTGATTGTCTAAATATTTCAATGAAGAATAATGTCACGTTTGGTGAGCTACATCTAGTAAGAAATGATAGAAATAGATAATAGAAGAAGGAAGAAAGGTATTTCTTAGATTTTTCATAACCAGTGCCTAGCTGGTTCTAGAATCTGACAAAATCAATTAGCCTAGCTGGCACCTTCCTCTACCGCGAGCCTCGACGTTGCCCTTCAACTGCTTCAATTTCCTTCTCAACAGCCCCAACAACATTTTCCTACAATTCCTCTTGTACCCCTGTAGTCATAACAAATAACCATCAAATATTTGTAATACCAGTATTTGTCCTCACGTCAATTGATCCCATTCAGCCTTTGTATGTTTGTTTGATTGTCACGTGTCCAGAAAAATATATGACACATCTTATATTAATAACAAATATTAATTGTTAGTCGATTACTGGTGAGAGCTATCGCTGACATGACCTCTAGGGTCAGGATGGTGGACTTTATCCTTATCTACCGTAAAGCTAACTTCGATGTCGAGTCCACTGCGAAGATGGCTTCGAACCCCGATTGTTCCACTGACCTCGTCTCGATTCCTCTCCCTCGTGTGCTCGATGACATGCATAGAGACCTTTATGGTCCTTTTCTAAGACTAACTTTTGTATTTGTCCTATGACCTTCTCTTCATTCAATTTTTTTTTACAAATTTACATCTAATAAGAGATCATTTTGGTTATGGACAAATATAAAATTTTATATTAAAAGATGAATTTATAATATTTTATTAGAGGTGAATTTACAATATTTTCTCTCTTTTCATATTCTTTTTTCTAATTTAAGTTTTTCCTCAATATTTTTGTGCCGTCTTTTTTTCTCTTTAATTTGTGTTTAGCTGACGGCGACGTCAATTTTAATATTAATTATTGATAGTAAGTGATTATTATTTCTCTTGTTTTTATATTGTCTTTTGGTTTTATTTTTAATTTTGAACAAAAATCTTTTATCTTTATGTTATATTTTTTCTATTTTTATGACAGGATTTTCTCTTACCCTAACTCGCTTTGTAGTCAGATGGGCTTCTATCATACAAAGGATTTGGTAAGTACTTACTGAACATTTCTTAAAGAATACTTATGCTTAGTTTGTTTTCACTGTACAACATCTTTAAACCTCTTATGTATGCGTCGCGCAGACCACGTGCAGACATTAGGTTTCACAAATCGTTTGTTTTTTAGAAGACAGAAGCTCTTCAAACGTCTGCGCGAGCTCTTCTTGGTGCAGACATGATTTTATGTCTTTAAAGGTCTTCAAAGATCTGCGGGAAAATTAAAATTATTTAAATTTATTTTAAAATTTATTTTAAAATATAGATTGATTTATTTTAAAATATGAATTGATTTATTTTAAAATATAGATTGATTTATTTTAAAATATGGAAAATTTATTTTAAAATATGGATTGATTTATTTTAAAATATGGAAAATTTTATTTTAAAATATAGATTGATTTATTTTAAAATATGAATTGATTTATTTTAAAATATGAAAAAATTTATTTTAAAATATGGATTGATTTATTTTAAAATATGAAAAAATTTATTTTAAAATATGGATTGATTTATTTTAAAATATGAAAAAATTTATTTTAAAATATGAATTGATTTATTTTAAAATATGGAAAAATTTATTTTAAAATATGTATTGATTTATTTTAAAAAATGAATTGATTTATTTTAAAAAATTTATTATTATAGTTGTATAGATTATTTAAATTTCAGTATTATAAAACTAAAATTATTTAAATTTCAGTATTGTAAAACTCTTTTAAGTTTAAAAAATCAGTTTATTTTATATTTCAGTTTATTTTAGCAGTCTGCAGACGTTAAAAAACAAACAGTCTTCTTCTTGTAGACTGCAGATTTTTAATCTACCTCTTCTGCTAAAAATGTCTGTAGATATGATCCACACACTGCGTACCTTTTAACTCTTTAAAAACAAACACTACCTTACTGTACATTTCTCCCGCTTTCGCAACGGTTAAAAACTTATTTTTATCTTACCCTTTACTTCTTTAATCCCCATCCAGAAACCTAGAAATCAAATTCGCGGAATATCTCAAATCAAAACCCTAAACCCCCAAATCTCTGATAAAAATGGCAATCGCGAGAACCGGCGTCTACGTCGACGATTATCTGGAGTGTAAGCTCGAATCCTTGCAACTTCTCAAATTTCTCACATCAAAATTTAACTTTATATGATTTTTTATAACTAATTTCGAGCTTCAATTTCATATTTAATTGACAGTTTCGAAATTTTCCCTGTTTTAATTTCCGACAGACGCCAGCACACTACCTGCTGAGCTTCAAAGACTCCTCAATACAATCCGAGAACTTGATGAAAGGTCCCAATGTAAGCCTATAAAATTTTTGGCTTTCTATAATTAGGTTTCTAAATTTGAAGGATTTTGATTAAAATGTTATATTTTTTCCAAAGCTATGATTAATCAGACGAGGCAACAGACCAAGTATTGTTTAGGATTGGTGGCGAAAAGAGGGAATGGAAATAGTTATATGAATAATAATCATGATGATGAAGATGTCATTGAGAAAATCAAGAAAGATATAGAGGCAAGTCAAGAAAATGCCTTGAGTCTGTGTACCGAGAAGGTTTTGTTGGCACGGCAAGCTTACGATTTGGTGAGTATTTGCAATCGGCTAAGCATTGCTTTGTAAACAATTAGTTTGTTGTTATTGAGGATTGAGGTTTCTTGCCGTATGATAGTGTGGAATGCTATGAAATTGTTATCTTGTGCACCTTACCAAGTTTAAACCAGCATATCTGTATTAAAGTCATCAGTGGTAACAAAAAATAGTTTTTTGTATCGCTTAGCTGTAAGTGCTTTTACTTCGTCACTGTAATGTTTGAGTGAAGAGAATCCTCTTTCTAAGAGATGTCAATCTACACCTTGTTCTGACACATTTATGGATGCAATGCATCCAAAACCATCCTGGGTAGCTTTTATACACAGCTACTCGAGCTGCTACCATTTTGTGAATCATGTTGATTAGTAAGCTCACCAAATTTTATACCTGAAACTTGTTTCAGATAGATAGCCATGTAAAACGTCTTGATGAGGATTTGACCTACTTTGCTGAAGATCTAAAGCTAGGTACAGTAATAGCAATCAAATTTGAGGATCATTGATGGATAGAACTCTGCTACAGGTTGTTAACATTTTTCACCATGCTTTTTCTTCCTGCAATTTTATCAGAAGGAAAAATTTCACCGGATGAGCCTGCAATTCTTCCTCCATTGCCTATTGTTCCTAAGGTTGAGAAACGCAAGCCCATTTAATTTACACCCCCATCGAAGAGGCTGGATTATAGGGATAGAGATTGGGACCGAGAGCGTGATAGGGATTTCAAGCTCATGCCTCCTCCTGGAAGCCATAAGAAAGACTTTGCTACCCCTCTTGAGGTTGATCAACCCATTGATCCAAATGAACCTACTTATTGTGTCTGCCATCAGGTTAGAATTTCATTACTGATTTACTTATTCTTTTTCATTGTTTCTTGATTCAGATGCATTTGTTCAAAATTGAAGAATTGTTTTATACCTTATTTAGGTGTCATTTGGAGATATGATTGCCTGTGACAATGAAAATGTGAGTTATTTTCCTCGTATGTCTTCCTCTATTTATTTATTTAGTAGTGTTTGTATTTCTTTACTTGCCTGTGTTTTATTTTACTGTTCGTCATTTAGGTTTTCAATATTTATAGAATCGAGTTTAGTGTTCAATATTTTCATGTATTTGGAAGGTTTTTGAGTGATCAGATCTTCATACCGTGTTTGATTATGATTCAAACATGGTTGTCAAACACGGATACTCACAAAATATGAAGATTTTGAGCCACATGTTTTTTGCACAATGATAATTTGGTGGTTACTTACAGTCTCATTTTTATTTATTTAGTGCCAAGGAGGTGAATGGTTCCATTATGCATGTGTGGGCCTGACACCGGAGACAAGATTCAAGGGCAAATGGTATTGTCCAACCTGTAGACTGCTTCCACAATGCCAACAATGATGCATATACATATGCATTTTGTATTATTTGAGATGTTAAATTAAACTGTCCACTATGATGTTTTTGGCACTCTTTTCAGAATTTAGGCAGCAATTACAACTGTAATTCACCAGAGATATGCCCTAGATCCGGATGTCTGAGCTTAGACAAAATAAAATAAAATGTTGGATAAATAGTTAAATCAAACGCCAAGTACAAACAGGACTTCCCCCTTGGGTAATTTTTTTTTCATTGGACTGTTTCTCATTAAAAAAAGCAAAAAGGAAATAGTTGAAAATCACAAACAAAACTAACAAAAGAAAAAACTCAAAACGGGTACAGAGCAGTCAAGATTGTTACACCATGCAAAAGCTTAATTGCTACAAGGCCGAAAGGATGCAATGAGACAAACAATAGCCGGTAAAAATTAGCTAATCCTGTTAATAAAACCAAACCCAAAGCACGCTCCTATTCTGTCTAAGTAACCAACTAGCAAGTACTCCCGACATGAACTACATTGATGGTGTTGCCTTCAGTTGCAGCAACTGATCCGTTCTCTTCTATGGGTTTCACATTTCCATTCGCCTTCTCCATTGATTCAACAGTGGATTCTTCTATCAAGGCCAACTCTACAGATTTTTTAAAATTCTCGTATGTTATTGCTGTATGTATTTCCTTTGTCATCACTTAAAGCATCATCATTAGGCACCCCACTCGAAACCTGATTCACAAGAACAAAAGGTAATTAATACTTGTGCAGTGTATGCAAGTCATTTATAGGATGTTATATAATAAAAAACATATTGTCAAGTAACACACGGGAAAATGAAAAATCAGGGCAGCATTTCAATCAAGAGTCAGATATACCTGCTTCTGTGACAGCTGGCACTTAGCCTTTTTCTCTTGGAGTATCTTTTGACGAGACTCGTAGAATTCGAGATCATCGAGAATACATGTCTGGCTGGAATGATCCTTAAAGATTTTGAGAATTTGAACCCCCTGCTCAAAATTAACCTGTAGCATCCAACCCTTTTACAATGAGCAGGATGAAAAAACTCACGAAAAGGAGAATACATGACCTATTTTACACTGACTCTTCATTTTCCCTCAAGTACTAGTGCATAACACCCATCTCTGACACATACTAGGATATGATCCTCCAAATATATGAAAAAACTTGAAAAATAGATCAATTTCAGGTGCATAACCACATCCAACACACACCCTGAGTCCAAGTAAAACATATAATGAAAGAGAGAATACCTCTTGGGTGTCCCTACTATTAGTGACAGGCTTGTTCTCATTGTTCTCGAGTTTTATGTGCCTCAGTGAAGTGTTTGGCACATCCTTAATGATGTGCCACTTCACAGGGAAGCAGCCAGTCCACTTGTCTTGTTGCCAGTATTCAACGGTTTTGTTAAAATCAACTGGGCCCATCATCTCAGCTACCCCAACAAATTGTCCACTGGAGTTAACCTGGAAAAGGCTCAGGCCTAGTAACATTCAAGCAAATTATATGCCAACTAAATCAAGTTTGCGGATAAATGGTAATCAATCATACATACCGAGAATAGAAGAAACACAGGACAGCTATCATGCTTCTCCTTGGCCTCATGGAATGCTGCATCAAGTTTCTTGTTGCCAGTAGATGTGCTGGCCCATACATTGTATTTTATACTTTTGTGGACATCATCCTCACTATAGGATTTAATAACAAAGAACTTTGCATCTGAATAACTCTCAGGAAAATCTTCTTTATTATACTGTTCAATATCTGGAATAAGAGAAACACTGTCCTTATTACTCTCAGTCAGTGGAAGGTTCAGTTCTTTGACAGCTACTGTTGCAGGTCCTAGACCATCTGGATTCTTATACCCTTTTACTCTAGGTCCTTTGTTCAGCTCACTTAAACCATCCGTATTTTCTTTTCCGTAACTACGACCCTTTGATTTTTTGTTGTAACCAACAGAATACCACCCTAGTCCTTTCTTCCAAACATCATAACCATATGATCCAAGACCAGAACCGCCTCTCATGGCATTACCATAGTGATCATAAGTCATGTATCCATATGCTTGAGCCACACCAGACGATGATCTTGCATTATGCAAATTCTAGATGCAAATCATTAGAACAATCACGTCAATTGGCAATGAAATAAGAAAAGAAAATGAAATATCCACCTAGTTCATCTAACGGTGTGTATATCTGGGTTAGCATTCAGGTATCACTGGAGCAGGGTTCAGATATAAGTAATAAAGCAATTTGAACATACCACAACATGCGGGAAATTTTGAAGGTTCTGATTCCTGCCTGATGAAGCATTGTTTGTGTACAAAGAGAACCCACTATTTGCAGCATGTTTGGGTTGCCCATTAGAAGAAACCGACATATCTAACCAAGGGTTGCTTGCCTGAATCCCATCATAACTAAACCTTGGTTCCTGAAAACCTTGGGATAGATTACTTGTTGGCAAGCCTCCTCTTTTGTATGAAGCATTCGGATTTAGAGAGGAGTTCTTAAAAGTTGACTTCAATGAACCTGGCCCATTATTCTCACTCAGACCCCCACCATTGATAGTACTCGATTTTCCCTTATTTGTTTCAGTGGATAAGGAAGCCTGATCACCTACACCAGAAGTTGAAACTTGAGAAGTATTGCCTTGAATAGTTTCAAAAGGTTGTTGGTAATAGGGGCTCGGATAGTGGTATTCTTGCAACGCATACAGCTGACCATCGTGTCCCATAGCAGGAAGAGGTGAACTAGTCATCGAATACGCCCCGTATGGCATATAACCATAAGTTTGCTGGTACATATGCAAGCCATTATCACCATAAAAATCCTGTCAACAAACATTAAGCTTATCACCATCTGAATGTTAAAAATTTATCATACAGAAATCAATCTACCAATGATAAATCTCCAAGCAACTTCAAGAAACAATTAGCCTTATTCCGGAAACAACAGTAAGATTCACTACGGTATAAATTCATTTATGTCTCAAAGATTTCGAATTAGTCTCATCACCACAAATCAAACATCAAATCTTGAGATAACGCTATACAGCAGGATCTACATTATTACACCAACTCCCCATACCCGATGCATATCCAGACTTGACTATGGAGATATGGCCTTTCTAAAGATCCTTCAAATACATGGAAAAAAAATGGAACGTCTCCACGTTGGACGCACCTGTATCCAACATTTACATCCAAGTCTAAGTAAGATAGAGTAGGATTACAGAAAACGTCTTTACCCATGCAATGAGGGCTATTCACGATAACCAGTTTATACAAATAACCAATAAACCATCTTCAATTACAAGGATTGAATTGCACAAAAATTGAATAAAACCAAAATCCTACTAATCTATCTAGCTAAAAAACATTAGAGCTTAAGAATAACAAAAAGGAAAAACAATTATCTCATAACCGAAGCACTACCTTGTTGATGGACTCAGGACCTTTGGAGGTCATTGCTTGTGAATCTAGATACAAGTTCTCCAGTGAATCTGCAATTTCTGTAATTGTAGAAGTAAAGGATAAAAACAAAACCAATAGTTTAAAAATTAAACTATACAAATTTGCATAAATCAATTATTCAAAGGTAAAGCGCAGCAAAATCATAAGCCTCCAAATCCATCAAACCTAAATCATTAAGAAGATGAAATGTTTAGCTAATAATTCAGAATCAAGCATAAACCAGTTAAAAGAAATTTTCAGTAAATCCTACCAAACCCCATCTAGAAAATCACATAAAAATCTCAATAGCAAATCTTCAAAACTTCAAAAATCAATCAAACCTAAATCTCCCCACCCCAAAAAAGAAGAAAGTATAAATCAATAGGAGAAGATAAATTTTGAATAAACCCTACTAAAACCCTTACAAAAAAACTAAATACTTACTGAAGGTATTCCAATCATATGTATAAATTAATGAGAGTAACAACTCAAAACAACAAGCAAATCCTTAAGAACTAAAGAACCAGTATAGACAAGGAAGAACAAAAACAATTATCCACGAGCCTACAAAAACAAAGCACGCCCAGAGGAGTAAAGTTAGCAAGGATACGATCAGCGTTGGCCATGATCAAATATCAAGGGTTTAGACTTAGGGAGAGCACGAAGGAAAACAAGAAAAAAGGAAGGAAAAACCCTAGACTTCAAACACTAGGAAAGTTGGGGAAAGAAACGAAGTAAGGCTTGGAGAAGGGGTAGCCGCCAAAAACCCAAGAGCTAGGGTAGAGTGGGGTTTAAGAGTAAATGCAAAGCGAGCCATAATTGCTGCATTGATGACTTATGTTTGTGTTTTATTTACGTCATTAATTTTTTAAAAATATAAGATATAATTATATTTGTTTTATTTAATTAGGATATAGTCACCTCAAATTAATTATTATTAATAATGATTAAATATTTTGATATAATTATATATTTGATCCCTATTATTTATATATTCTCTCAATTTAATTATTTGAATTGTGTTTGCATCTATATTGGCATTGAATGGCCTTATTCAGAAGTGAATTGCAGGTTTGATGTGTTAGCGTACTGAAAATTTGGGTAAACTACATCATTTATCATTGAACTTTATTTTTTTTCTTATTTTATTCATTGTACTTTTAATTTTTTCAATTTACTCATTAAATTTTTTAATTATTCCTATTTTGGTCTCTCTGAATTATTTCATTATTATTTTGAAATGACATGGTATTTTTATTATTATTATATAAAAATATAAATTAAACCTAGATGGCGGTTGATGGTGACGAGAAGGGACGGTGATTATTTCATTTTAAATTTATAATAAAAATATTATTTTATTATTCCTATTTTGGTCTCTCTGAATTATTTCATTATTATTTTGAAATGACATGGTATTTTTATTATTATTATTTAATATAAAAATAATATAAAATTAAACCTAGATGGCGGTTGATGGTGACGAGAAGGGACGGTGATTATTTTAAATCATTTTAAATTTAATAATAATAAAATATTATTTTATATTTTTTAAAAATATTTTTATATTTAATAATATATAAAAATTTAATGTCATAGAATAAGAATAATAAAATAATTTGTAGTAACCAAAATAGGAGCAATTCGTAAGTTCAATGACTAAATTGAAAAAATTGAAAGAACAAGAGTAAAATAGAAGAGAGTAAAATTTAATGATGAATGGTGTAGTTTACCCTTGAAAATTTTTAAACTTGACAGCATATACCGGGGAAAGATTTAATAATGTGATGCTTAGTGCGGAAGTTCTGCTGTGTCGCAATTAAAAAAATGGTGTGATTGGTTAAAATTTACACTGGTTATTTTATAACATTTAACCAGAAATATTATTAAGTACAATAACATATTAGGTAGCGCTTATATAATAAAATAAGTATTTAACCAGAAATATTATCAACTACAATAACATATTAGGTAGCGCTTATATAATGTAATAGGTAGCGCTTATATAATAAAATAAGTATTTAACCGGAAATATTATTAAGTACAATAACATATTAGGTAGCGCTTATATAATGTAATATGTAGTGCTTATATAATAAAATAGGCATTTAACCGGAAATATTATTAAGTACAATAACATAGTAGGTATCGCTTATATAATGTAATATGTAGCGTTTATATTGACTTATTTTCTAACTAAACTAATATATTTATACATGTAATATTGCAAATTTACCTATTACATTATAAAAAGTATCGACAAACTTAAAACGTATCGATACATTATGAAGACCTATTTTCTCATAAAATCGGTATATTTCTACCGGGTACATTGTAAATTTATCTATTACATTGTCATTATCGGTTTCGATATTTTTGGGATCGATACTTTTAATAAATGTATCAAAACTTTATGCGTGCATCTCGTTTGACATTCATTCTGAACAAAATGTATCGACACTTTTTAAATTTGTTTCGATACATCTCATAAAACCGGTATATTTATACCCGTTACATTGTAAATTTAGCTATTACATTATAATTATCGGTTTCGATGTAATATATGTGTCGAAATTTTTAGAAAATGTATTAACACATATCTTTAACTATTCTCTCATTATAATATAATTAATGATATATTATTTTTATTATAATAAATAATAAATATAATTTATAATAATTTTATTTAATAAAATATAATAATCATAATTTTTTATTTATAAAATTATAGATATATATTTAATAATAATATTGATATAATAATATTAAATAAATTATTATAATATTTTAAAAATAATATTATTATTTTTTTAATAAATAATATCATTTTTTTTATATTTAATGTTTATAGTTATATTGTAATTATGATTATTTTTTATCACTTCGTTATGATTTTTTTTAAATTATATTGTAATTATATATATATTTTTTTTTATTTTTTATTAGAAAATTAATATCGAAATAGAAATATCGTGTCCTTTTTTTCATTAGTTATATTGTGGCAACTTACAAACTAAAAAATCTTTTGTTATTGTTGGGCATAACAAAACGGGTAAAAATTACCTAAAACATTATTATTTCTACTTAAAACATCAATGTTTTTTAATATTTCCGGTAAAATGCCCAACAATAACAAAACCGGCAAAAAATAACAAAACCGGTTTTGTTAAAATAATGATGTTTTCGATAATTTTTACCGGTTTTGTTATTGTTGTATACCGGTTACATTGTAAATTTACCTATTATATTATAATTATTGGTTTCGATGTAACATATGTGTCGATACTTTTAGAAAATATATCGACGCGTATGTTTAACTATTCTCTCATTATAATATAATTAATGATATATTATTCTTATTATAATAAATAATAAATATAATTTATAATAATTTTTTTAATAAAATATAATAATCATTTTTATTTTAAAATTATAGATATAATATTTTAATAATAATATTGACATAAATAATATTAAATAAATTATTCTAATATTTTAAAAATAATATTATTATATTATATTTGATGTTTATAGTTATATTGTAATTATGATTATTTTTCATCACTTCATTATAATTTTTTTTAAATTATATTGTAATTATATATATATATATATATATATATATATATATATATATATATTATTTTTTTATTAGAAAACTAATATCGAAATGGAAATATTGTGTCCTTTTTTCATTAGTTATATTGTGGCAACTTACAAACTAAAAAATTAAAATTAATTTGTATAATTTCTGTTTACTAATTTTATCATTAAAAATCTATTTTTACCGGTCGGTTTTGTTATTGTTGGGTATAACAAAACTGGTAAAAATTACTTAAAACATTATTATTTCTACCTAAAACATCAACGTTTTTTAACATTTCCAGTAAAATATCTAACAATAACAAAATCGGTAAAATAATAACAAAACCTGTAGCGCTTTACCAGTTTTGTTAAAATAATGATGTTTTCGGTAATTTTTAATGGTTTTATTATGCACAACAATAACAAAACCGGTATACTTTATCCAATAAAATATCAAATAATAACAAAATCGATAGAAATAATGATATTTTCAGTAATTTTTACTAATTTTATTATGCACAATAATAATAAAACTGATACCAATTTTTTTAGACAATAACAAAATTGGTACCATTTTTAGCATTTCCCCATGTTCACCATCATTTGTTATCTCTGATGTCATTCACTGATAATATTTATTTTTTATTCGTGCTTATTTTCAGCCATCCTTTGAGAAGGCTTTGTTGCCTCCATCTTTCTTTGAACTAGGTTTGGAAGATTTAGTTTCATATACAGTGAGCTTTGTGCACAGGGAAAGCCCCCGCCGGTCATCGATGCTGCCGACCTTCAAGAAAATCCGGAGGTTGTTGATCTTTTCTAACAGGATACCCTGGAAGATCTTACTATATAGAAAGCCTGTTTTATACTGCATATAAAATCTTACTATGTATTCGGCTGTTATTTTTCAAACCTTGAAATCTGATACGTTTTTTCCATCTTATTATGTACGGGATACCTTTCGCGGCCTTTGTAAGGATTTGGACATTCCTTTTCAAGATGCAATGCTCAGGCATGTGGAAACTTATTTCCTTCTAAGTTAAAACCTTCAAATCTATTAACTTGCTCTTCAGGCTATTCAATTTAATTAACTCAGGTGTAAAATCTGATTCGGGTATGTTTAATACTTCTAAAGTTTTTCCATGTATCGGGACAACCCTTGGCGGGTTATATCTTCATACTCATGCCTAAATATGTGTAAGGCTTGGGTACTTTAAAGAACATGAAGCGTCGAAGCAATATAGATAATTAAACTGCCTTTCTGTGTGACAATAGCTGTATTTCTATTATCGTACATACACGTCTTTTCTTGTATGTGTCCCTTATTAAAATTCTTGGCAAACACATCACTTTCACTAGAATAAACAGTCCAACGCAGCAATATATCACAATTAATATGCAATGATTTGATTTTATACAATTAATGACTTTGTGGTCGAACATTGATCAGATGGGAAGCTGGTCCAAAATCATTCGATGGTTTGTGGGCGCCATGGTGGTATAAAAGTGTGCATAAGTCGACATGTTTTGCACCCAGGAGAAAGTACCCTAGGGTATGTGACCTGTTTCAATATTTTCATTTTGCATAATGAATTGTAAACCAGTTGCTTATCTTGAAACTCCATATTCATCTTGTAGTTGAAGTGTCTACTCTCTTTTAAATTCGTGTTAATGGAACTAAGGTGTGAGTGTAGGGTATGGGTATTTGTAATGTTTCTAAGCGTTTGCATGTATCTGGAGGGATCCTTGGAGAGTTGTATCCTGACGCCAGACAAAATAACGATTATCATGTAGGCTAGTTCCAAAAGATGATTCAAAAGAGAAAATTCTCCCAAAATCCAGAGAAAAAAAGTCTCTAGAGTTTAATAAAATATTATAAAATCATAACTGTCAAAAATCAGTCCACAAGCCGGACTGTTTTAGCCAAAAATCTTGTTTATCGGAATTTTACCAAAAAATAGCAAAATCCCGAAAATCACTCTAAATTGAAATTTAAAATAAAATAAGCAATCTGCAAAAAATCCGGCCGAAATCGGATCTAAAATGACTTCTTAATTGACAATCGAAATATTACCATAAATAGTAAAAAATATCTAAATCTAGTGATTCGAATGGGAAAACGGCAGAATTTGAGGTCAAAAAAGGTCACATGGAGCGTAGCTCATGTGGACAGCGTGAGCGTCGAAAAGAGCTTTTCGGATTGAGATCTTATGCGAGATTCTAACACCCGTAGCCAAAGTTATGACCAAAAGACTGAAGCACACTTAAAACGGCCCCAATGAGGAACATATCACAATCAATTACTACCTTTGCGCTGATCTGCCAACTCATGGTATCTCAGCGACATCAAGGTGCAATCTGACAACACAGCATCATCTGTCTCGGATCCCTCTGCATCATATCCCCGTACTCATATGTATATGTATCGGATACTGGTACTTCAAGCAAAGTAAATAATTGGAGTATCATAGTTAAATTGTATTTATGTCGTTTATATTGATAAGCATAAGCATTCATCCTTGTTTATCGCTGTAATTGTGATGCGTATATAGTGAGTTATATTTCAAGTCTTGATGCGATGAAAATAGATTATTTTCGGTAAGAAACAATTCCTGAAATTGTGTTTTGAAGGCTGACAATAGCAGTTGCTGCTTTCATGACAATGTAGTTGACCCTTGTGAGCAAATCTCTCAATCATCTCGATTATGATAGTTCTTTTTTTTTTTAACTGTTGGTAATACGTATCTTTAAATTCGTTAGAAGTGTTTAAATCATTGAAGAAGTGTTGATACAATTATGATTGATCTTGTAAATGTTTTCAGCCATTTCATTTCTCATTTTATGATGTGTTGGAGCAAAATCTACCTTTCTATAACTTGCTTAAGTGCAACGTGAGGCAGACATCATCCCTGTTAAAGCCCTTACCGGTTCCTGATCTTCCAGTTCCCAAGAATGCAAAGCTGCTTGCTTGGGTTGGTGATGAGATTCTACCTCGCGAGAGTGCAAAGGTCCTTAATCCTGGAACCATTCTCATCTGTTGTCCATTGACTTCAAACTTTCCTTTATGATTGTTAATTCACAGGTACATTAGGTTTCTCATTCTTGCAATGCATTACCAGGTTTCAGTGTTTGATTCGGTTGTACAAGGGAGGGACTCTGATTTTACGATGGAAAGATATTTAAGTTCGAAGAGCATTTAGATAGGTTTGTGAAACCAAATCCTTAATGAATTCCCTTTATTAAGAACTGCACTAGTATTAATCAAGACAGTTTCCAAGCAAAAAAAAGGAAAGAAAAAATCCGGACATTGTTGGCCTCACTCATTTCCCCTACGTATGATTGATTTGTATGGGGAAAGATGAATGAATGACACATAGGCGAACTTTGGTTAGTCCTTGCTGCTAATGCCTGTTGGTTGCTTGAATTCTTCTTTGGGTTCATTTTGTTAGGATGTTTGATTTTGCAAAGGCTTCTGTAGTAATATGTTGTAGCATCATTGCAGATCAAAGAGGCTATCTTCAGAACGCTCAATGCCAATGGAATGTTCGACAATACACACATTCGATTAACACTTACTCGTGGGAAAAAGTTATGAAACATTTTTACCTTCTCTCCATCTCTCTGGGTTAAAAACCTAGGATGTGTCTAGTTGGCGATTCATGAATTCTTAGTTTGGTCTTGAGATTTTCTTCACTAATATGCTATACTCACAAGTCACATCTTGTTCAGGTTACTTCCGGGATGAGCCCTGCATTTAATCGATATGGCTGCACTTTGATCGGTAAAGCAATGTTTAAGTCCTTTATATACTGGAGCGACATCTTAAGTTCTTATATCTATTGACATATGTATATCATATTCGCTGCAAATTCTTACCACACTTGGAATGTGCTGTCGAATGTTATTTCTTTTTGCGAGTAATATAGTATGTGCTATTGTGAGTTGTAGATTTTCAGCTGATATGCCTAATGTTGACTGGAAAAAAATGCAGTGCTTCCCGAATGGAAACCCCTGGTTTACGACAGTGAGAGTGGTATAGAACTTGTTACGGCTACTACACGTCGCAATTCACCAAATGTAAGATTCTTTGAGTCTTTTCTTGTCACTATTTGCTACTTGCTACAAAATATATGAGAACATGTTGCGACAGGTCTTGTTGATTCTTGTGCGATGAAATGCTAGGTGTTTGTTCCGATTTAATAGTAGTTCCCTTTACAAAATTTTATCTTCCTACAAACCAGCAGACTTTGAATAATTTTTCATCCCTTTCAGAATTTGGACTCGAAGATTCACCACAATAATCTTCTGAATAATATACTGGCAAAGGTATTGTCCTATGCAGGACTTTGATATGTTTTTATGATAAATCTTAGAGCAGATAATTTTCTAATATCTGATGTACGATTTAAATACCTGTTTTCATTCTTTCATGCTAGTCTAGCAAGTTTTACCATCTTAAAATGCTTATGGCTGTATTATCAACTGACCAACCGTATTTTGCCAGAGGAACTGTATTAAATTTCGGATTTTCTTACTAGAAAACTGCAATGGACTTTTTTTCTCTAGGTCGACAGAACATCCGAAGTGTATTTAGTTGCTAAAAGGATTTTATTTTCAAGTCATGTGCTTTAAAAGTTGAAAATCTATAAACTGAAAAACATTCTTCTGTTTCGTGTTACAGTTTTTGGTCAAGAAAGGCCGTGTTTTGACGCCTCATGCGGATTATTGTCTTCCAGGGATTACTCGAGCAACTGTAAGTTTCGTAAACATTTGATTGTGCTGTAATTTACGTCCTGGCGGGTGAATCTCATAACTTCCTGATCTCAAGGAAACAAATAACCACGAAATGTTGTTCAATATTTCATTCGACCAGAAACGATACAGTGATATGCCCCTTGCTGTTCGAATTGCAGGTCATGGAACTTGTTGAAAAGGAAAACTTTGTCCTAGTGGAACGAAGAATTAGCTTATCCGAGTTCCATACAGCAGATGAGGTTTCCTGTTGTTTTTCAGTCGATTTTACATATATTTATACCTTGATTGTCAATATATATTTTACATGTGTTTTGAGTTTGATGATGATGATGTCCTGCAGGTATGGACTGCTGGAACAATGGGAGAACTCAGTCCGGTTAGTTAAACACTCAGTCCGGGAGAACAATGGGAGAATATTTCTTTAACAGGTCGTGAAAATCGACGGGCGCATTATCGGCGATGGTAAAGTCGGGCCGGTTACTCAGAGATTGCAAAATGCTTATAAAATCATGACAGAAGACTCCGGAGTGGTAATACCAACCAACTCCCAAAAATGAATAACAAAAAGGTTCCTCTCTTTCGTATCATTTCCCTGCTTAAAGGATTAAAACTTGGTTGCAGGAGAATTAAACATCTTAATGTTAGAAAAGGGGTTGATTTATTTTCTGTTTGTTTCCATGGAAAATTCTTGTTCCCCAGGTTGCCATTGTTGGAAAGCGCATCTCGAGTCAGATGATTGTTAGAGAATATGGATGCATGAACTTGTCTTCAAGTTCTGCTGTTCGGTATGGAACTGATTGTGGAAAACTCGGGTAAATAATGTTTCCCAATAAATTGTGAAAGCTTTTTAAGCCATCTGTAATGAGCAATGTCATCAGTGTTGAATTGTGCTCTTTAACATGTTCACATTCATGGCTAAAATACTTTAATGTTGTTTTATGGTATTTGTGGAAGTTAGTGTGGTAACATATGTCTCTGTCTGTGTCTATTTAAGTAAAGGCCTCTGTAATGGACCAGTCCGGCCGGGATATTTGCTCTGTACCGTATCCGTTGGTGGAAGCATCGAACCGGAATAAGATTAAAAAAAAACATAAAACAAATGGATTCTAAACCTTGATTACAAGTTTATGTTTCGAATATAAGAGCTGGATTATACTGGAATCTTCATGGCTTTAACCCTAAAAAGAAAAAGAGATGACTTCCATCGTTTTGCACGTGATCCTTGTAAGCATAGCGCGCAATATTCAATATTCAATATTGAATAGGGTAAAAAAGAAATCAGTTTTTTTCCTGATTAAAGCTAATGGAGTTTTGTTCGCTCATAGTCATACATTCATGTGGAAGCCTCTGGTGCTTACATTACATGTCAGTAAAGCACATGATTCATTGTTGAGTGACGAATCGCATAAAGAGGCACCTATGAAACTGCTTGACATCCAAGGATGAAAGAATTATCCAATTCTCAACTATAAAAAGCTTCTCATACAAAAGTTGGCTGCACCCATAGCAGTGCCCCTTTTTATTTAACTGCCTCTGTCTCTGCACCTTCCCATTCCCTCTGTATTTTTCTCAGCTTTCCTCTCGCCAACAAAGAAGCTTTTGCCATGGCCGCCTCCTCTCTCAAGCAACGTTCCCAGTTCTTGTTTGTGTTTGTTCTCGCCATTTTCTTCCTTTCTCATCCTGTTAATAGTGACGGTACTCTCTCTCTCTCTCTCTATATATATATATATATAATATCTGAATATTATATATGTTTGAAATTTGATGTTTTGACTCTCTTTTTTTTACCATCAATCCAACAGATGAGGCAGAGCATCTACTTCAAGATCTCAACGATTTCAGGACATCGGTGAATCTGCCGGCATTCACCAAGAACAAAAACGCTCACTGCGTCGCCAAGAAAATCGTGGACGAAATGGACGATGACGACCATCCATGCACGAACCCCAGCAGTTCATCATCAGGCAACAAAGGAACCAGATTATCCGACTATCCGAGAGCCGTGTCCAAGTGCCACATCGATACCAACACCACGAGCGGTGCCGTCGTGCTGCCCGTCTGCGTGGCGAATCTGGTTCCCACGCTTGTTTTGACCAACTTCACTCGTACCCATTTCTCTAGATACATCAACGATTCCAGCTTCACCGGGATCGGAATCAGTTCCGAAGATGATTGGATTGTGGTGGTTCTTGCTTCCAACACCCAAAGCGGGAGCCTCGCCAGTGGAGCCTCTTCTCATGGATTAAGTTATTACGTGGTGTTTTTGCTGTTGGGTTTCGTTGCTCGTCTTAATTTGGTGTGACCATTGCCTGGATTTCTTTGTTATTTTTCTTCCGGTTTGTGATTTAATTTGTGGATTTCAATTTGTATGAAAAAGTTTGCTTTGTATTTTGTTTTTGTGTTAAAAAATAATGTTTATCGTCCGGTGGAATTGTTAATTTAATTTTTATATATTATTTTTTATTAGAATGAGTGAATTCAAGATTTCGTTTAATCATTTCATAATAAAATTTTTATACTCTTATGGTATGCTTAAATTCGTAATTTTAAGAAATAACAATAATATCTTAATTATTAAAATCATATCTTTTATTTAAACATTCATAATTTTAATTTTAATTTTAAAAAATAAAATTATAATTCATTAATTAAATAATATGATTTTTTAGGATAAAGTATATAAATAGTCCATGAACTTCTAGGGTACTTGCATTTTGGTCAATAACTTTTGAAATTTACAATACAGTTATTAAATTTTTAGTTAATTTTCATTTTAGTCCCTACCGTTACCCGTTAGTTTTTTTATGACATAACAGTTAACCCCGTTAATTTTCCTTCTTCTTCTTCTTCTTCCTCTTCCTTCTTTCTTCTTCTTCTTCTTCTTCTTCCCACATCTGAACGGACATAACAGGGGTCGGGCTGCACCATCATCCTTAGTTCAACTCATTGGTTTGAAACCTTTCATTCACGATTGGCCTGAGCTTCCGGAACTTGACAGCCAATTTTCTCCAGAGGGCCCAATTTTAAAGGCACAAAAGCAAGCGGCCGAACTGGTTGGATCATCTGAGACATAGTTTCTTGTTGGAGGTACCACCTGTGAAATCCAAGCTGCAATACTAGCAACATGCTCCCCAGGAGAATATTTAATATTCTACCTCGCAACTCTCATATATCAGCCATTTCTGCCATGGTATTATCCGGTGTCATACCCAAATATATTATCCCAGAGTATGATTGTCATTGGGATATTACTGGTGGTGTTACTTTATCACAGATTAGTCTCTAAAATATTTAAAGTTGTGTAGTAGCTAGCGTTGTACTTAATGTCGCTGATGGTTGAGAAAACTTTAAAGTATATATTTTTACAGATAGAGAAGCAATCCAGGAATTGCATATGGAAGTCAAAAAGTAGCTGCAGTTTTCATCATCTCGCCCACTTACCATGGTATATGTAGCGACTTGGCTGACATTTCAAAGCTATGCCATTTGTATGAAATCCTTGTGATTGTTGGTTAGAAAATCCGGGTACACCAAGCATTGAAGTTCCTGGAATATTTGTGATAAGGTTTTTAGTTTCAAAGGCCAAATATAATGCATTACTTAAAATGATAGAGCTTTGAATTATTTGAAGGCATCTACAGATTCTTTCTCTGTCTACAACATTTCCAGACAAATGAAACAGCTTGTGAAGAAATTTTCGAAATATTGAAAAGCTTCCCCACCAAGATTTTCTTTAACGCCATTGCTAAAAACCAAAGAAAATAGAAAACGCAAATAACAAGAAAAAACAAATTTCATTGAGAGTGTGTGTGAGGAGAAGAAAGAGAAGAAGAAGAAGCTGCGAAGTCAGAAAGTTAACGGGATTTAGTGCCACGTCAACAAAAACTAACGGAATTAACGACAGAGATCAAAATAAAAATAAACTAAAAGTTTGATGATTGTATTGTAAATTTCAAAAGTTGAGTGACCAAAATACAAACATCCTAAAAGTTTGGATACTATTTATAAACATCCTAAAAGTTTGGATACTATTTATAAGTTTACCCTTTTTTAATAACTATTTGATAATAATCGTAGAGTTACTCTAGGATTTATTCCGGGAGAAACGTCATATTATAGCATTCCCCTTCTTGTATTTCAAATATTATTATAATTGATTTTATTCATGATTAATGTTAGCAAATATGTATTTTTAAAATAAAAATCATACCATCTTTGGAATGAAATTGAAAATTATACATTCATTGTATATCTAATTTTTTTTAATATCCGAAAACATTTAAAAATTAATCCAATAAAAAAGCTCTTAAGTCCGCGTACATGCCGGCGGCGAATGCATTAAAATCTCGTAGGGGTTAAGTGTATTCTATTGTTTTGTAAAAAATATTTTGCAAAAAAAATAGTTTAATTTAGTTTAATGTGTTAGGTAAAAAAGAAAAAAATTATAATATTTACATATTTATTATTTTTAAGAAAAAAATTAAAATTTTAGACTATATTCTTAAATTTTTGGATCCATTGATACATGCATGCGCGTGATAGAATAATATTACCTTCCAAAACCATGCATGCACGTGTTATATTTTTCCCCTCTTCCCCTTGAACGTTCCAATAAGAACTCAACCAAAATGGCTTCCAAACACCCCATTAACAGCAAAAAATTACCCACTCTCCAATTATTATTTCTCTCTTTGTCCTTGATAATCTTCATTGTATTTTCCAAATCAAGTTACAACATTCTCGATGCACTTACACTCAACACCGAGCCTCCCGTACAGCTCAAAAATCTCGATCTTCTTCTTCAACATGAGATTTTGTTGCGGAAGACGGCTATCGAATAAAGCAAAATCACAACTGATAATTTGAAAAAATAAAATTGAAGATAAAAGAGACTCAAAATTTACGTGTAAAACCCCTAAATAATATAGGATAAAAACTACGGGCAACGGTAGAAGAATTTCACTATGAGAAAATAGGAATTTCAACTTCTCTCAATCTACCAAGGAGAAAACAATGATAATTATCTCTTGATAAAAAGGAGAAAACAACTCTCAAGAAACTCTCTAAATTCTCTCTAGTATTGGAACAAAACTAGAATGCTTTGGATGATTTTGAAGCTAGAATGCTTTGGGATGATTTTGAAGCTAAATGAGCTAGAGTATTTATAGTAGAAGCTTTAAGGACTAATCTTGAAAATACCCTAAATTACAATAACTAAATGTGAGATTTTGCCATGTCATTTTTCAACCATTATTAGTGCCAACTATGAACCATTATTGTTGCCAACTTACAATGCATTATGAACCATTATTATGCATTATACAACTATTATTAGTTGTATGACAACTAATAATTTTGCATGACAACTAATAATCTCCCACTTGAAGATTTGATTAGAATAATCATATCTTCACACCATTCTTTCTACCTTGTACCTTCATGTTGCTTACATTTTTGACAAGCCACAAGAGGATCGACACCAGGTAAACTTATCAGCGTTGATCGCCTTCGTCATGGAATCTGCTATGTTGTCTTTGGTATGGATCTTCTGCATATCTACTGTCCCTTCTTCCACCTTTTCACGAATGAAATGGTATTGAACTCGTATATGCTTTGTCCTTGAATGAAATGTTGGATTTCTTGCTAGATGCAAGGCGCTTTGACTGTCACAAAACAAAGAGACATACTCTTGATTGTGCCCAAGCTCCTCCAATAGTATCTTCAACCAAATTGCTTCTTTACTAGCTTGTGAAGCTGCTACATATTCTGCTTCTGTTGTGGATGTAGCCACAACTGACTGCAATTTTGAAACCCAACTTACAGCTCCACCAACAACTTTAAACACATATCTTGTAGTCAGAATCAACATACACATTGATAAGTAAATTTGAAGCTTCTGTAACATAATGCAATATTTGAGGTCTATTTGATGTATCTCAGGATCCTCTTTATTGTATTCCAATGCTCTTTGCCTGGATTTGCCATGTACCGACTAACCACTCTCACTGCTTGTGCAATGTCTGGTCTTGTGCATATCATAGCGAACATTAAACTTCCCACTGCTGATGCATACGGTACTCGAGACATCTCCATCATCTCTTCTTCACTGCTAGGACTCATACTGGAGGATAATTTGAAGTTAATAGGAAGAGGGGTAGAAATTGGCTTACAATCTTGCATGTTGAATCATGACAAGATCTTCTTTAAGTAATTCTTTTGTGAAAGTCAAATCTTCATATTACTTTTGTCTCGGTGAATTTGCATCCCTAGAATATTGTTTGCTAATCCCAAGTCCTTCATTTCAAATTCTCTAGCCCGTTGTGCCTTCAATTCTTTACTATGATCTTTGTTGGGTCCTGCAACCAACATGTCATCCACATACAACAGTAATATAACAAAATCGTTATCACCAGACCTATTGAAATAAACACAAGGGTCTGTATTAAGTCTGTTGTATCCAAGACATATAATGAAGGAATCAAATCTCTTATACCAACACCTCGGCGCCTGCTTTAGACCGTACAGAGATTTGTTCAACCTGCAAACCAAATTCTTTTTTTCTTTTTCTTCAAAACCTTCAGGCTGGAGCATGTAAATCTCTTCTTCAAGATTTCCATGAAAAAAAGATGTTTTAACATCTAGCTGCTCTAGATGTAAGTTCAATGTAGCACACATTGCCAAAACTACTCGAACTGTTGTTAGTTGAACCACAAGAGAAAATATTTCATTGAAATCAATACCTTCTTTTTGAGCATATCTTTTGACCACCAGTCTTGCACGATACCTCTCAACTTGATCGTCACCATTTCTCTTGATTTTGAAGACCCATTTGTTACCAATTGGCTTCTTTCCTTGTGGTAGTGGCATAAAGTCCCATGTATTATTTTTATGAAGGGCTTCAATTTCTTCTTACATCGCCATCATCCACAGTGAAGCATCTGAGCTATTTATTGCCTCATTGTATGTTGATGGCTCACCGTCCTCTATTAAAAGACAATATGCAATATTACCTTCTATAACATAATCTGAGTGCCAATTGGGACGTCTTCTCACACGATCTGATTGACGAGTTATTGGAACTTCATAACTCTCTGGTTCTTGTTCATCATGTGCTGGTTCTGCTTCAGAAGAATCTCCTTGTTCAAACTCCTTTTCCACATGTATCTGTGTAGTCTCTAACTTTTCAGCGCTATCATCGTCTTCTTTTCTTTGTAGCTTATCTTCTACAAAGATAACATCCCTGCTAATGATCACTTTGCGGGCAGTGGGATCCCACAAGAGATACCCCTTTACTCCATTAGCATACCCCAAGAATTTGTATTTCATGGATTTTGGATCCAACTTTGAAATTTCTTGGGCGTTGTACATCACGTACACAATACTTCCAA